GGTAAAATTCTAACAGCCCCCCGCCAAACTCAAGGAGGATAGGAAACTAACCACTTGAGTTTGTAGAGAGGAACAAAACAAGAAAATACATAAAAATAAAAAAGGATAGGAGACACTGTATGGTCGTGTCAGACCATTGGTGAAGACACTGTATGCGTGGTGTCATAACGTGGTAGAGGACACTGTATGGTGGTGTGTCATAACGTGGTAGAGGACACTGTATGGGGGGGCCGGGGGCCGGGGGGTGTCATAACGTTGTAGAGACACTGTATGGCGGGTGTCATAACGTGGTAGAGGACACTGTATGGCGTTCAGACAGTAGAGACAGTTTTATGGGGGTCATGTCGGACCGTTGTAAGAAGACAGTTTATGTGACAGTTGACGGAGTCTTGCTGGACTTCTTGTAGAAACTAACCGGAATCAAATGTCGGGACAGTTTACAGAGTCTTGTCGGACCCTTGTAGAAACTAACCGGAATCTATGTCGGGACAGTTTATAGAGTCTTGTCGGACCGTTGCTAGAAACTAACCGGAATCTATGTCGGACAGTTTACAGAGTCTTGTCGGACCCATAAGGAGCTAACGCGAATCAATGTCGCGGACAGTTTACAGAGTCTTGTCGGACCCCTAAAAGTCGCACCCTCAAAAAGGTGTGCCCAATCTATCAAAAAAGGCGTGCCATCAAAAGGCGTGCCCAATCCATAAAAAGGCGTGCCATCAAAAGGCGAGCCCAAGTCATAAAAAGATGTGCTGGACATGATGGCGAGGCACGTGAGTGCAGTGTTTTTAAAGGCTCAAGGCGCACTAAGGCGCTGAAGGTCTCTCGGGGGCCTAGGCGCAAGGCGCAAGGCGAGGCGTGAGCTTTATTGAAATAAGGGCCACAGTCTTCGTAAAAATAGAAAAATTAATATAGACTAAAAATAATTAATTCATAAATAAAAATTATTATGTTATATGATTATACAATTAATTCAAAAAATAAAGATAATTTAATTATATGATATAACAATTTCAGTATAATGAATGTAATGTATCTAATTTATTTATTTCAGTATAATCTATTTATGTAAGAGTCGCACCCTCAAAAGGTGTGCCAATCTTTCAAAAAAAGGCGTTGCCATCGAAAGGCGCGCCATCAAAAAGGCGCGCCATCAAAAGGCGCCATTCAAAAGGCGCGCCCATGTTGTCGTCGAGCGCCGAGCGGCGCATGATGCGCGTATCTGCCTTGGTTATTTAACCAAGACGGATGCTGAGACTGAGGCAGCAGACAAAACCTGCTAAAAATCTCTGAGAGATAACTCTGTAATACTCTGTAACACTCTGTTGCCCAGGGCTGAAACTGTAACGACCCAGAACCGTTATACTATGATTACAGTAATTAATTATGTGTTAGCATGATTTAATTGAAGATTATCTGTTGAACTTTAGAAGAATATCTGTTGAGATGAGAACTTTGGGACTGAAATTGATGACCGTAATGGGTTCGGAAACGAAATTGAACACGCCTATGTTGATACCGGGAATTTGTAGAACCATTTGGAAAATAAATGAGAGAACTGAATTTCGTCTGATTCGTTAAGCCTTGTTTGGCTCAAGATAATGGCACAATTCTATTTTTATGGTATATATATTATGTATATAGATAAAGATGTTGACCATGTTTTGACTCAAAACCAAAGAGAAGAAAAATTCTGGAAAGGAGAGAGAGAGAGAGAGAATTCGTGAGAAAGGGGAAGAAGAGAGGAGGAAAAGAGAATCAAGCTTAAATCTTCCTCAATTAAAGAATCAAGGTAAGGATCTTCTCTAAATTCTTGAAGTAAGGTTGATGCATCAATGATCTCATGTTAAATAAGAGGATTGAAAGGGGAATATGTGTTTAATTGAGCATGCATGGCAGAATAGATGATTTATGGTATATTTGTCATATTTTGAGGAAGAACCTCCATGGATATGAAGAAATGAAGCTTTTTACATGAATAGTTATGATTCTTCACTTTAAATCAATGGTTTGATCTTGTGCATGATGCATTTGGGTTTGTTTAGAAGCTAAAATGTTGAAATCAAGTGGGTTCCAAGTGTTTGGGACTTGGGTTTTCATCAATGTTGAAGTGTTTTTGCAAAAGGAAAGGTTTAAAAGCTTGAGAAGAGTCCAGAATTTTCAGATTTTCGCGCGGGTCCCTCGAGCGGAGGTATTCTCGCCTCGAGCGTGAAAATAGGCCTCCCAGCAGTTTCGGAAAATTGTGCAGTTCCGCTCGACGGACAAAGTGGCGCTCGACGCGGGACCTCTTTTTCAGGAAATTTTGAGATTGAATTACTTGATTTTACCATGTTATTGGACATCCATTTTTAGCATTCAAAACAGCCCCCGAACCACCGTGTGGCTCACACGGACAGTTCCCCATGACAAATAGGACTTGTGAGAACTGACGGAATGTAATTCGGACTCGTAGGTTGGGAGTTAGAGCTAAATACATCCTAAACTTACTCAAAAAATGGCTTTCCGAGGGCGAAAATTCATGACAGCCCCTGAATACGCCTTACACTTAGTTGAAAAACTTGTAACACTTAGTTAAAAAAGCAACAACTTTATTAAAATAATATCTACATATTCTAATAATTGCCTTAATATATTTATAGAACTAAGAAATTACATGTTATATTGTTTGTGCAGTTGGTTGGAATAAATATTGCATGATACATATATATATATATATATATACTTTCTTTTATTTCCAATAAGACATTTCTCGATTGTTCTACCTTAAATGCATGTTAAAACATGTTCTATATGGCTG